ACGCCTTGCTGACTGGTGAGTGCCAACTAGCACGAAACCTAGGTCCAAGGCTTTCTGCCGATTGTCTCCAACTATCCAATAACAAAGGTATATTCATTCCTGTCTATGCAGGAAGACACCAATTGTACAGGCATAGATAAGTTATTATTTAAATTACATGGATTATGTTTATGGTGAATTTACATGGTTGCTATACTTTTCGGCTTTAGTTGGTAGGATCAGTCTGATAACTAATCAGTAAGTGTAGCATATTGGGAAATAGTATCTTCGCATTAACACAGAAAAACCCAGGTTTGTTGCTGCATGGACCACAAATACCTGAGAAAAAATAAAACTTAAAGTCAATTCTCCTACATAACTTTGATGTGTACCTAATTGAATTTGAATCTTGATTTAAAGTGGGGAATATATTTGTAGCCGTTTCTCAGCAATGTCGTTGTAGGTTACTATAGGAAGGGAATTCACTGTACTTCATGCAAACTAATATCGGACATAGCCGTTCAAGTTTGTTATACTGCATCAAATGGATGGGAGTTCTCCAAAGTCAGCTATTACCGCCATTTGTAGCTGTATACTACACTCACGGTATATGTGTCGTGCCGTTCAACATAAGCTGACATTGTGACAATATCTGATAAAAATCTTATAGCAGCTATGTCAAAATGATTATATGCACACTTACATCGTAGGGGATTTCTCTGGAAATAACAGTCAAGAAATTGTCCGTTCTATTTCGCAATTCATTCTCACATTCCAATACCCAGGCATGATGATTATGCCTAGAATGCAATGAGCCAATGAAGCAAGCACATGGTTGTAATTCTCGCACACGTATTATATATATACAGCTTTTCATAGTCGATTGAAATAAAACATTAGGGTGTACATTTAAACGCGTACCAACTTAGCACGGAGGCGACTCTTCATAAGCCGAACACTACGTGTTCCCTTCGTCAAAACAAGAAGAAGAAGAATTTACAGCTTATCTTTTCTTTTTTCTTCCAAATGTAACAACAGAAGACAAGGGCCAGGCAACAGATCGTTCTATTATGAAAATCAACACGTATTTATACATATTTCAACTACATTATTATAGACAAGCGCAGTCATCTGATTGGTTGTTTATCAGAAGTTAGGTAGACAAACGCAGGCTTCTGATTGGTTGTTTCGGGATTCCTTGACAAATAGAGTTCTCTATCTGCGAATCATATTTTGCCACGTTAACTTTGCTGTGATTGGTTGTTGACTCCGCCTTGTTCATATTTTCTCACGGCCCATATTAGTGACCTAGACCTTAACGTAGATTAGTGCCAACCAATCGGCTAGCAGCCTGCTCTCACCACACTCGTCCCCCGTCAAATAGCTTCGTGCGCAGACGTTCCGACCTTCTGGGTGCTACATCCTCTAGTTGAGGATTGTTACTGACCGGCTTGTCCCACTGTACCCATCTTTGGAGCTGACTGGCGTTAACTCGTTTCTGTTTATCACCTCTTCGGATGGTATATACTTGACCCCGTCTTTTTGTGATTGTGTATGGTCCTTCCCACTTTGGAAGGAGTTTCCGTGAACCTAGCCCGCCTCCAACTGTATATCTCCTGTCTCTACACTTCACTTGGTCCCCGACTGCAAAGGTAATGCACTGCGTCCTTTCTTTCATCTGAGACTTCATGACATCACTGCGCTGCTTCCGTATTACATTCCTACAATTAGAATTAATCAGTTCTTATTTATCGCAAAAATGGATAAGAAATCAAGGCCAATTACTAACTAATAAAGAATGTAACGGTTTTTATTTTTAACGAACGAGAAGTCGTTTTCAGTGAATTGATAAGTTGCTCACTAGCGACTGAACCTATTCAGGTAGATAGTTACCTGGGGTTCTAGTGGGTAGAGCAGGTCGGATAGGAGGACAAATACTCGCCACCGAAGACATTGGCTGGCGGTCGTGAATTGGCAGAAGTTAGGATTCACGGGCCATTGGGTTGGGTCGCAGTGGTTTAATGGTCTACGAGCTCGCCTTGTAGCCAGAAGATCCTAGTGAAAAAGCCCAAACCAGGCTGACGAAACAGCTGTCCAGTACTCTCAGATTTTCCAGTGGTTTTCTAACTGATGTCATCTCATGATAAAAGCCAGTAACCAATCACTCAAATACCTATAAACCAATACTTGAGGATTCGTTTTTCTTTAGCTGTACAATCAATCACATTTGTAGGCGATTTCCTTTTTTCACAGAGAAGGGAGGCTAGTAACAAAAATACATAAGAGAAATTGTATAAGAGTAATAGAGTTGCGTAATGAGGCCATTAACTTAATGAATGGGTTGTAATCAGGATGGACACCGAAACGAGACAAAATGTTACACTAGGTAGGAAGAAGTTAGACATTAAACAGTCTAAAAGAATAATACGGTTTTCGAGGAAAATCACTGCCCCTAATACCACCAACTGTTGAAATACATTCTAAATGTCGAGCTGGAAACCCAATAGTATTCCAATATCAATTCTATTAATGACGACCTGATAATCTTAAACATTCCTTTCAGATACTCCTCGATCCCAAGATGAAGACGTAGTTGGGTTGTTGCTTATGACTGTTTTTAACAGATTTTTTAGAACTCCAGTTATTCGACCTTGGACTCACCAGAAATTTCAACAGTGTGTATATCATTAAAACAATTAATCCCTTTGATAAATTTGAATAAGGCATTAAGAAGACAATTTTCGCGAGATGATGGCATCAATTCATAGTTTCTTTACAACCGCTTTACAACTAACATGGTTAACAATAATGAAATAAAATAAAGATCATGACAATTACGCAGTTAAATAAAAAACACAGAAGTATATACTAATTACCAATCATATTTAGATAGGTAAAGTAGTCCAGGGTAGGCGAAGATTGAAGTCTATTGATTTTTGTATACACAGTTTAGGCTGTATGTGATTAATCCAAAGTGCTTCCATCACCTTCGATAACCAGCCTTGAATTAGAGTTATGTGAAATAATTGTGAAACAGTCATTAATATTGATTTTGTGACCAGACATTAATAAGTGTTTTGCAATGGATGATGCTGGATTTCTATTATGATGATGGTGATGGAAGCACTTTGGATTAATCACATACAGCCTAAACTGTGTGTACAAAAATCAATAGACTTCAATCTTCGCCTACCCTGGACTACTTTACCTATCTAAATATGATTGGTAATTAGTATATACTTCTGTGTTTTTTATTTAACTGCGTAATTGTCATGATCTTTATTTTATTTCATTATTGTTAACCATGTTAGTTGTAAAGAAACTACGAAATGATGCCATCATGTCGCGCAAAGTGTGTATGTCAATCAAGGGTTGATAGAAGAATAGATGCAAATCTGCAAGATTTTTGTGTACATGCTGAGGACAGAAAAATTCCATGGGTTTCAGGTGGGTTTTCTTTTGTAGATTACATTGCAGTTATCTTTACAAACAAAAATATTCAAACTACCAGTATGATATCACGAGTGGAGATGAGAAACGCAAGTAGAAAAGCGACTCTGTAAATCCCTGCTTATACCGCTTCACATGGGAGATAGAACGCAGACATCTATGATCAAAGACAGCTAGTCTTTTCATATCTTCCGCTCTCAATGACCAGTTCTCACAGCCATAAAGGAGGACGGAGAGGACTGCTGAGCAGTACACACGCCGTTTGGTCGACAGCCTGCCGGATAACACGTCTACGACAGAGACGGCGTAAACTGACATATGCTAAACTAACTTTCTGTTTCCGTGCGGAGATTTCGTCAGGGATCAAGCCGTTGGCTCTAGGTGATGCATCTTCCCAAATAAGGGAAGCGATCAACGTGCTCTACCACTTCATTACCTATTTCTAAGCAGGAGTCAGTGTAGTCCAGTCCTGTAACATCATCTTAAATTTGGCGGGAGCGAATCGCATGCCAAACATTCAAAGATTGCTGCCCCTTAAAGGTGTTCAGAAGACTCTGCATTTTGTCAGCATCTTCACTTAGAAGGACTATATCTTCTGCATATTCTAAGTCAACGAGATTATTCCCTGGCAGTAACAAGTCAATCCCTGAGTCGCTGAAGTCAGTTAGGGCTAAATCCACTAGTACATCCATGATGAAACTGAATAGAAATGGAGATAGTGTGCATCCCTGACGAATACCATTGGTTGTTACCACTTCAGATGACAACTCGCCGTAAGCTCTCACCTAGCTGGCTGCAAGAGCCCCAGTAGAGTGCCTTGTTCAGTTCGATGTATTTTCTCGGCATTCCCTTTACAGCCAAGCATCGCCAAAGGTTAAGGTAAACGGCTTCATAGGGGAAATGACCTCATTGTTTGATTGCAAACTTCCTATGACCTCGTGATATAGGTTTGTCAGGACATCTAACACATCCCAAAAACTCAAGGCAGATCTTGTTATGAACTGAAACTAGTTACAGAGGCATTTAAAGCCGAGAAAGATCCTCGAGTGATACTGAACAATGCTAACATATTGTGCAACAGATAGCCTAAAATATGTTGCTGTTCACTTACTGTTGTAGTGGATTGATCCAATTTACGTCCACTTGGATTATAACTCTACCATTACTCAACATTACCAGCAAGTTCTATTTTTCTTCACTCCACTAGTCACATCTTTGCCCTAGAGCTTCGAAAAGTTCACAGTGGATTGATAAGAGAATGTGGTCCGTCAACTTTAGTGTAAGAAGAGAACATTCACTGATGATGATGATTGCAGTATAATGAAGAATCGATAGAAGCTACAAATGATTATTCACACTTGATCCATAACCCTCTTACTCCTTTGTAACATGACATAAGTTATCTTTTTTCTCCAAACCCCCAAAAGACACCACGGTTTCTCATCGTTCTTTAATCTCTGTCAAGATGATATAACAACATTTACACTCCTTAATCAAACTTAACAAAAATACTGGATTTTTGTTTATTTGATTGTATACTACTACCTCTACTGGTATAAAATCCCAAGGTATAAAAGTAACTCTTGTTGCTTAGCAACACATGACGAAAATCAATACTATCCACGTGACATCCTCCTAGGTAATATATTCTCGCAAAATTTAAACAAAACAGTAAAAAAGAGAATTTAAAAGAATGAGTTAGTTGTAAGGAAAGAAGTACCACATACAGTAGAATTCATACCAGTTTATTTTCTCTCGTTCTTTCTCTCTCTTTACAATATTTACAAAGAAAACACCTTGTGTTATTTCATAATAAATACACACACACACACAAGCAACAAATGATACAAAACTACAAAATACGTTTTTTCAACAACGACAACAAAAAGAAGACAATAACTGAAAAAAATGGTTTAAAAGTACATCCTGATCTCAAGTGACTGTATTGTATGATGATGATGATGATGATGAGGGATTGAGTAGATTTCTCCCTAATTTCACATATTATCAGTACATTATTGAGTAAGAGAAATATTATGGGTGAGAAGAAGAAGTGAATACAATCCGTACTTTTCACGCACATATAAACAGTGTACAAAAAAGGTTAACAACAACTAATAGTACACAAATCAATTTCATTGTAACGCACATAATCAAGCTTCTCTGCCAACATCAATAATGGTAACAATGAAGGAGGTGGCACCACCATGATCATTCTTCCATCAGGTGGTGATGATGGCATTGTTAACTCAAAACAACAACTCTAAGAAACACCTATGCTAGACAGAAAAAGAGGCCTAACAACTCACAGAAGGCAGTAGGATTAAAAACATTACAAGGAAAGGTGAAAGTATAACTAACACACAACAACAACTGATGTAAGGCAGTAAAGTTATACTAAAGGGTGTAGGATGATGTTCTTCAGACAACCTAATATCATTTCATATTACCAAATCAAAAGTAAAACTAATAGCATGAGAAAGAAAGAAAGACAGGATTGAGGAAAGAACAAAACAGATCTGTAACACCTGCAACATTTACCTATTATTATTATTATTATCACAATGTTAGAGGCGATAAACTGTATCAACCGTCGACTTTTTCACAAGAAGTCGAGAATTTTAAAGATACACACTTGATGAAGATGATGATGGGGAGGATGACATTAACAATGATGATGAAGATGAAGAAGACGACGAAGATGGTGATGATGGAGTAGAAACACTAGCAGCAAGTGAAGGATACAATAAAGGAATAGATTGTGAGGAAATGTATAGATTATCACGTTCATATGTCGGTTGTTGCCGCTGTTTCTGTTGGGGGTGATGACGATTATTATTAATATTCAAATGAAGAATTGAAGATATATCATCACAAAGATTATGTAATAATCTAGATAATTTATATAATATTGTATATCCTGATTGTGTTATCACTTGAACTATCCATCTTAAATGATACACTGTTGAATGTTCATTGAAGAAATTATTCATAAAGTTTGAAAGAGAATTTCTATCATGAAGATTACGACAATGGTAACAAAAAGAAAGGTGATGTGTTAAGGATTAAGAAATAAAAGCGTAATATTTATTTTGACACTGCTACTCTTCATTCATTTATTAATCAGTGTATATAACATTTGGTTACAGGATCGTGTCATGAGCTGACATTAGTTAGAGAACCATTGAAGAATCTGCAGGGAGTATTGGACAGCTGTTTAGTCCCAGTTTGGGACTCTTCATCAGTACACACCCACCCACCAGCCCATGAATTCTAACCTCTGCCAATTCACGATATAGCGCGACCGCCAGCCAATGTCTTCGGTGGCGAGTATTTGTCCTCACACCCGACCTGCTTCACCCTACTGGTCACGACTTCTCATCAGAACCTCAGGTAACTACCTACCTGAATACGGCCAGTCGCCAGTGGGCATCTCATTGTAACCGGAAGGTTCTGGGTTCGAACCCCGATGGGTGCGTACTGATGAAGAAACCCAAACTAGGATGAAACAGCTGTCCAGTACTCCCGCAGGTTTTCCAATGGTTCTCTAACAAATCTCAGCTCATGATGAAATCCTGTAACCAATCAACCAAATCCCTACAAACCAATACTTGTATAACATTGATCGTTTTTCTTAACGCTTAAATAATCAATACGTGCTCTACAAACGTCTCAGAAGTATACAATCCAATACGATTAATACATATAATACGTTTAAATCTTAGTCAATGTGTGATATAATTACAAATAATTATTTGATATTTATCATGTTAAGCTATGCAAATCAATATGACGCCTTTAGCGCGATTAAAAAGACTACTGACTGATTTTCAGTTTATGTTACTTCTTTTTTTCTCTTGAATTTCTTTGAGTTCCGAATGGATCATAAGGCTCCAGGCTTGAAGACTCAGTAGCTATGGTGTTGTTAGCCTCACGCTCAAACTTCCTTCTTCCACAGATTTACTATCGACTATAAAGCCGGCCGACGTCTAGGAGGATTGTGTCGGCCGGGAATCAAACTCTGGACAACATGCATGATTGACTAGCATCTCGTCACTAAACCACCGAAGTGGATTTAGAGGAAATAAAAAGGATTTACACAAATGATAATTGTTGTAAATTTTGTGACACGTAATTAGAACTTAATAGAAGGAATTTGCGGTCCAGGTGGAGGATTTTCATGTGGTTTTGGTGAAATTAAAACATAAGTGGGGCGAGACAGAGAAAGAAAGAGAGGTGAATCACTCAACCCTCTGACGATCTAATCAATAGCAAACATACGCAATCAAAATGATGCAAGACATATCCAAAATATATGGAAAATTGTAATAAACTCCAGGAGGAGTGAGGCTATGTAAAACGAAGTCCCGAATGTTTATTAACATGACTATAAGCGGAAAACTGTACTAGAAATATCACTTTTATTAACACCGTATCACTTTGTACTTTATCAATTAAATTCGTCGATAATACGGAATTACGCTCTATCACAGCACTTTAACTCAACCCATACGATTCATAGTAATTACTGAATAAACCAGTCTGACTGGCATCAGTATTCTTTGTGAAGGATAAAAATTGGTGGCATATTCGACCGATATCTTTATATATTCACCTTCTAGGGTTTAAAATTCCACCGAAAATTGGTTAAATGAAATCCCGAAGATGGAATTTTCCCTCCTGTATATGTATGCTTCGCTTGATCTTTACAGGTCAGAAAAGTTACCAATACACCATACAATTCTCAAACTACAGGTCAAACGTCAGTTGAATCAACAAAAAATATCGAAAAACGGAGCTGTATTACTCACTAACAAAAAGTAATATTTTACAATAAATAATAATTTTTGAAAGAAAAAAGGATACGTTGATTTGACATCCAAATATCCTCCATTCGTATGCAGGACATATGTACAACCATCAGCAGGCTTGCCATCAATTGTATAACAGCCAGGACGTGTATGCAAACAGATGAAACCACGTTTTTCATAGAAACGTCTCGCAGGTAAATTACTGTGTAATACATGCAGATAGACAGCTTGTACAGGAGATACAGGTGGTAAGTGTATGATTAATTCATACAAGGATTGATAGTCTTTAATATACAATGGCACAGGCAAAGTTGTTCTGTTGTTTGCATGTATAATCTAGATATACACAAGGATAAATATGTTTTGAATGAATACGATTATAAAATATAATTTTGAATTTATAGCTTCTTGTACTGATACATATCTCAAAAAAATATGTATTCTGTATAATCGACGAGAATTCTTTGTACAGGAATTTGAGTACCAGCTGACGTTCATCTACCATAAAATACAGCGTAGTCAGCAGTTCTATAATTCTATCATAAAATCATTTTTTTATTCTATAAAAGGCACAATGACGCAAGTATTATTTACTGATGAAGACGCTTTGAGCAAAGTCTACAGCTCAAAAGAAGAACTCCACAAATGCAGTGGATGCACTAATACACAGAAATACAACAGCCACCTAAGACAGAATTACAGTTCTTAGAAGTAATATAGGTAAGTGGAAGGAGTCACTGGATCACTGAATCTTTGTTCATCGATAGGAATTATCCAACACGAACACCACAGTCATGGAGAATTAACAGATAAGAAACAATCAAATCACAAGAACAAAGTCTGAAAGCTATCTGAATGCAGCCTGATATGATCATGAGTAATAAATTGTGCTCAAAACGTCATCAGTAAATGATATTATATCACTGGGTAATTGTATCGGAAAAAAGCAACAAACAACTATCCTATGACAGAAGCATACTCAATCAAATTGCCAAAATTCTATACTTATCTTGACTTTATAACTATCAAAAATTTGTGATGAATACTATTCATGAACTATTAAGTATTTTAGAGTGCATTTTACCAGAATACTTCAGCACTCATACTTCAACGCTGTATCATGATGTACGTGACAAAACATTCACGTTAAACTGCCTTCTTCCTCAGGCGAACACACTTATCGCAGTAATGGATGATAAAGTGGTAAGTTAGAGAAGATAGCTTTATTCTCTTTTGAGTCAGTGAGTCACACCATTTACAGTCAGTCAGCACAACACTACATCATTAAAATCCTCAATCAGACTTCACATTATTTTTGCAATATAACCAACAGTTCTAACACCGAAACTGACCACTACACCATGGTGGTGACCGTGTATCAATCGTTTAATTGATTTACGCAGTTTATGTAGCCATCAAGTATTGTGTTATTCGAATATCAGCAAGTGTTGGGTGTCATGAGACCAGTGGGTCCCTTATTTTGATGATGATGATGAAAAAAGCTAGTTACAAAGAATTCTTCCTATCAACGAAAGGACTTAATCATATATATATATATATATATATATATATATATGGCTCCTCAGGTTCTCAAAAGAACAAAGGATTTTGGCGGTAAATTGTCATTGCACTCGATTGTCTGCCATCACTTTCAACTGGCAACACGACTGCCAACAAGCTTCCAATTCCTCTTCACATAATCTTCATGTCAACCACGGATATATAGTCACATGTCTTACTTTAGTTTCACTCGTGGTACTGATATATGACGTCAACATATATTCATTCCATTTCCATACAATTCAGCATACATCATGGGCAATAAACTCTTCATCGATTAATTGCCAGAGTTTATTGTTGTCTATCCTTTCTGGGCGGCTACGTTACTTTCAGTATCCATAGAAGACATGCATTGATGATAATCTGCAACAGTGTGTTGGAAATGCACGGGTCGAGTCTTTGAACTGTGTAAATGAACCGACATTAAAACTGAAAACACTGATCTTTTTTCTTCACCTGAGTGTCACAGATCGCCACAATGGTTTCAAAGTAATGAATGTCTGTTTCACTTTACCATTCCCATCTTCACTTTGGCCTCTTCATCCGTTTCGCCTATACTTGAAACGATTCTGACCAACCAAGTGAGTGAGTGAGTGGAACGACCTGCTTTAGATTTCTTTCATTGATAGCGTTTGTTATTGGCCGGGTATTTTCATCATTTCTGCTTCTCTATATATTCCTGAAGTCATGTCTTCTCGGTCTCTTCTGTCGATTTTATTGGTTTTCCACTAGTATGATACCATCATTGTTTATTTTGTTGGCTTTTCATCATCTGCTTACAATCTAATTCAATTTCTAATAAGAAATTCACGTACAAAAACGTTTTAGCATACTTGCAAATTTTTACATGATATCAGTTGACAGGAGGTTTCGGAATTAGTGAATAGTACTCAGACGATTACGCTTATATAATTTTTACACTGGCAGTTCAAGTTTAAATAAAGTAGATGTTTGCATACAATGGTAAAGGAGTTACGTAATAAAGACGAGAGATGCGTAAGATGATGAGTGACTAATAAATTAGGTAACAGTTTATTGAGTTCAATTCAAATCATAAAAACAAGAGACAAGCAAAATTATACTGTATCAAAGGGGAGGGTGAGGTGAAAGCCAAGATTTGATTTATCGATTCATTTGATTGCGTAACCTTTGGCTTTCACTTCACCCTCCCCTTTCATACAGTAGAATTTTGCTTGTCTCTTGTTTTTATGATTTGAATTGAACTCAATACACTGTTACCTAATTAATAGGTTTCCAGACCGTAGGTGTTACGAACTTCCTGAAATAATTTGAGCGCCAAGTCAGATAGATTCATTATAAATTATTTAAATTAATCCCAGCGTGTTAAGAAAATCAAAACAAGATTTCTCTGAACCTTTCGCCGTATATATATATATATATATATATATATATATATATATATATATATATATATATATATATATATATATATATATATATTGATGATTAATTATAATCCGAATAAATCTGCTGAAGAAGCTGTGGCTTTGGGTGCTAAAGGGGACAAAAACACAAGAAATAGATTTTAGTGCCAAGTCCACCATCTACTGAATCACGTTATTATGACTACTGTTATTATTATTTATTAACTTAGCGAGGCGTTCAAAGTGCATACAGGAGTAAGACGAGGCAGGCTGCCTATTATCACCGATGATATTCTTAACTGTGGTAGACTAGAGCATCAGACTATTGGGGGAGAGGAGTCAGGAATACGCTGGATGACTGATAAGAACACACTAGAAGATCTGGATTTCGCAGACGGTATATGTCTAATGTCACACAAACTCGAAGACTTGCAAGCGAAAACCAACAAACTGGATGAAGAAGCAGCGAAAAAAGGACCGCAGATGAACACAGAGAAGACGGAGGTGATGAAGATAACCAATCAACAGCAACAACAACAACCAGCACTAATCACCATCAACGAGAGAGATTCAATAGAGGTTGTCTTCTTCACTTATCTGGGAAGCATCGTTTCAACTACAGGCGGAACGGATGATGTCAAAACTGGCCAGTCAGATACGCTTTCATCAACCTGAAAGCAGTTTAGAAATCTTCCGCACTCAGCATAAGGAACAAGATTTGCATCTTCAACACCAATGTCAAGTTGGTCAGTTCTTCTAAATGGGTCAGAAACTTGAAATGAGTGTCACGAAAAGAATTTCCAACAGGTTGCAGACTTTTACCTACAGCTTCCTTCCCCGGCTCCATACTGAAGATCAAATGGCTGACCATAGAGAATTAGCAACAAGAAACTATGGGAACAAACCAACAAGCAAAAACCGATCACTCAACAAATATGTAGGAGAAAATGGAGATAGATCGGGAATACATTGAGGAGGCCGCTGAATAACATCGCACACCAGGCCCTTGAGTGGGATCCAGATGGGAAGCGACAAGTGGATCCTCAGCACGAGGGTGACATGGAGGAGATCATGTGAGGAAGAGACGAGAGAGTTTGGTCAATTGTGGATCCAGCTGAAGAGAGACGGTAGAAAACAGAACAAAGTGAAGATGTGTTGTTGAAGCCTTATGTTTCAGTCGGAACCCAAAGGAATAATAATAACTCTGTTTCGTCAGTATATTTAATCATGTTCTAATTTTTATCATCAGCGCAACTCCGTTATATATGCTGCATTAAAATCAATCAATTACACACACTTGAATACCAATGAGATGCTCACTGGTGACTGGCCCTATTCAGGTAGGTAGTTACCTGAGTTCCAGTGGGAAGTCGTGACCAGTAGGGTGCAGCTGGTCGGGTGTGAGGACAAATACTCGCCACCGAAGACATTCGCTAGCGGTCGCGCTATGTCGTGAATTGGCAGAAGTTAGAATTCATGGGATGGCCATTGGATCGGGTCCCAGAGTGGTTTAATGGTATACGAGCTCGCCTTGTAGCCGGAAGGTCCTGGTGGGTGCGTACTGCTGAAGAGTCCCAAACTAGGTTGACGAAACAGCTGTCTAGTACTCCCAGGTTTTCCAATGGTTCTCTAACTAATGTCAGCTCATGATGAAATCCTGAAATCAATCAATTATATTAATTCTTTTTTCCGTTTTGATGAAGCAGGACTAAATAGGTTACTTCTCTTGAGGATTGAATACCTTAAACCAAATCAACAATCCCGTTTCAATCTCGTTTTTTCTTAAATTTCAGTTTCTACTTTCTCATTGTACACATCCTATGTTAAATTAGCCGGCTGTAGGTAGTTGTCAGATAACATCAAATTACCAACATCAAAGGCAACATTAGAAGCACCGGCTTTACAAGGAAAGCAAAAAACATCAGAGACTGTGATCATTGCAGTATTAAGGGGGGGGGGGGGGAGGAGATTGAAAAGTTTCTAGAAGTAATAATACTGATGATAATAATAACATCTAACAAAATGCATAGTATGTTTAAAAAATAAGAATGCGACTTACATTTCCATTATGGTTGGCATTCACATAAACCTTATCAGTAGAAAAATCTAAACTATTAGAAAAGATGATATGATGATCTGGATTATTCAACCATTCCAAATTTTCACCAGATACATAACCAATAAATGATCTCAATAGAATAGACGCTAAAACAGTCATTGAATAAAACAGAACAAAACAAAGAAATATTACATAACCGGAAAATATGTATGAGAGAAAATGAATGAAATGATAACGGGTCACAAATCCCAAAACTATACGGACGCGTGAAAATACACAAACCAGGAGCGCCTTTAAGACCCATACTCTCTATGATAAACTCACCATACCACAAATTAGCACAGTGGCTATGTGAACTGTTGCAGCCCTTGCTGAAACGTTTCGGAACATATATAGTCTCTGATTCATTTCAATTTGTCAATCAAATTAAAGATTTCAATGTATCCGATAAGCATTTGGTCTCTTTCGATGTTACCTCCCTTTTCACAAATGTGCCAGTCGTTGAGACTATCGACTTCATATGTAAAGAAGCTGAAGACATACCCATTCCAACATCGGAATTGAGGAAATTACTACTTTTATGTACTAAAAATGTCCAATTCCAATTCAACGGGCGTCTGTTCCGTCAAGTTGATGGTGTCGCAATGGGAAGCCCTTTGGGACCACTTTTCGCAGACTTATTCTTGTCACGCCTAGAAACCGGCACCTTGCAGCAACATATACAAGAAACGGATGTATACCTAAGATATGTTGATGACATTTTTATTGTCTGTGAAAGCAGATCAAAAGCGGAAGACATGTTGATAAAATTCAATTCATGCCATCCAAATCTCAATTTCACAGTAGAACACGAGGAAAACGATACTATTAAATTCCTAGACCTTTTTCTAGCCAAAATGAATGATGGCACAATCGAAAGATCTATATTTAGAAAGTCTTCATGGACAGGACAGTACATGCATTTCAAGAGCTTTGTTCCAATTCAGTATAAAAAGAACTTAGTCAGAACACTGTTCAATAGAGCACGAAAAATTTGTTCTGACAGTACTATTGAACATGAAATAAAATCTCTGAAGGATATTTTATCTAAGAATGGATATCCTGAGAAGTTCATTAATAAATACTCTAAAAAAACTACCCCCTGCAAAACAATTCAAACAGTTCCAAAGAAACCTGTCTATATCAATTTGCCGTTCAAAGGAGATGACGTACAGGAAGTAGTGAAACGAAGACTCGACAAAGCCATCAAGAGAACTTATTATGCTGCAAAACTTGTTATCCTTAACACCACCAAGCGAGTGCTTCAACAATCTGGGAAAGACCAGTCGCCAATCCTCGACACTTCAAACTGCATATATCAATTTGAGTGTGTTTGTGGCAGCAAATACATAGGTCGTACGGAAAGGCGATTGTCTACTCGCATGATGGAGCATTTGCCAAAATGGTTGAAAACAGCTGAGTGCAAAGTGCCAAAATCCTCAATAACAAAACATCTTGTGGATTACGGACATGATATCGACGCGGTCAAGTCATTCACCATTGTCAGCAAACAAAGAAACAAGAAGATGCTTGCAATTGCAGAGGCTTGTGCAATTCGAATTTATAAACCAGCTCTCTGTATACAAAAGGAGATGGTCGTGACTCTGAATCTACCATGGTAATACGTTTTACTTATTATTCTCTACTTGTTATTACTATTATTCTACCTCTTCTTCTTTTCTTATTATTGTTATTATTATTATTATTATTATTATTCTTGATTCATTTAAAACTATCCTTTATCAGTAAGATTATCTTAACTCACTTCAACACTATTATTATTATTGTTATTATAACTATTACTATTGATATTAGTCTGTTTGCAATTCTCGTTATATTCCCTAATGACTAATTGTTTATCTAAGTGATGTAATTGAAGCGTAATGCAATTTAATCTCTCATACTCTCTCTCTCCTTATCTATTTGAACATGACCTGGAAAACATTCGCACCTGTCTTTCTGCATGATTAATTCAATGTAGTTTGTTTACTTATCAGTCTTATATCTCCCAATGTAATTTCAAAAGTATATATATCCGTGTATGTAGAGTATTCAGCTGACGAGTTCTACCGAAATTTGATGAATTCATTAAATCCTGCTTTATTAACCTTTATTACTTTTTATTTCTATTTTCTTATTTTATTCCTTTACGTTCCCAGTACAACATAAGGCTTCAGGCTAGAGTTTTGGAGTTTCAGTAGCAGTGGTGTTCATCTTTACGAGATGGAGTTTCTCTTTACCGGCTTAACGACATTTAGGAGTTCACCGACCAGAGATCGATTCCCGGACCAACTGAGTGGTGGTTGGCGAGCACTCTATCGCCAAAACACCACCAACACTTGAAAATACATAAACTCAGGTCAAACAGATAAGTACAAAAAAAACCTGACTAATAAAAAATTTTTTTACAAGATTAAAAAGATAGAAATATGCCTAAGAAGACCTACACTTTTTAGCAATAATTAAAATATATTACAGAAATTTGTTTAGATTTCAGATTAATTTTTATTTTACACATATATTTAGTGAATCGTGGTGTTGTGCATTGTACTTTGGTAAAAGATTCTTTTCAATAGTCACATAATAAAAGTATCATACCTAAAATTCAAAAATGTGTATGGAACCTCAGTGTATGCCTAACTGTGTGAATTATAGTGTGATTACACTAAGCCTACTTAATATGAATTTTACAACTAGTGTGTTAGTCGTAATCTTTAATCACTGTTCACATTGAACTGTTCTATGTTTTATAGTTTTAATTGGCAAAGGTCTCATTTTAATGCAAAAAAGTGACACGTTATCAGTGAACTATTGCTCTAAGATGGAATTAAATATGAATATTAGTCTTACACGGATAACAACCCGATTTTTACCAAAGTTGAGGGGGCGGGATGCGGGGGATGGCAACATAAATATGATGTATGAATGTAGCTTGCGTTTGGGTTTACTCACTTCTAATGACTTATTTAGTTTAATTGTATGTTAGATTTAAGTATATACCTTTTGGATTGCATAAAAACATTTCAACAAAACATTACACACCACTTTGCAAAGATGAAAATAACTTCTTGAGTTAAGTGTTTATTTACTGTTGCATAGAATTTTGAGCAGACGTGTATCTGTGTGTATATATGCATGTATACACTAATGTTTATTACTTAGAATTTCTGATTACATAATCATTAGTCCTTATGTAGAGTGTTCTACTGAAGAAACAAAAATTTACTTACAGGAAATTTACTAAATACTGAAAAATCCAGTTTTCACGTGGAAATTACACAGAAAAGTGGCAGGCCAAATTGCCACAACTCATGTAGCAAGCAGTGGTTGTGAAACGCAAGGAGACAAATTGGAAACAGTTATGATGAACAGTCTACACCTCCCTAGCTTGATCAATAGATACTCCAAACAGTTTGCTTTGCATAACAACAGGTTTTTTAAACACAATGTATCTCTTCAGGCAAAACCAGAAGCCTATATAGAAAACTATATGCTCGCACTAGTAAGCACAAAAACTCAACCACACCCTACTTAGCTCGTGTTCTGTGCGATAAAGGAAGCATTAGGTGTGAAACCTTTAACTTATTAAATAGTCAGTAGAACAACTGGATCTCGTCTTTCCAACTCATATCATTTATAGGTACAACGTTTTTCTTTCTTTCTTTTCCCTTTCTCTCTCTATTTTTGTGTTATGTGCAGCTTTGTTTCTCTCTTTTGCTTACGCCAGAAAATATGCTAGCACCTACTTTTCTAGCACCTTCAAACACTCTGTTCAATTTTGGCTTTGCTACCTACATACTAATATGTTGTTTTCAAAACTTAGATTACCCTTAATCTATGTAGAATTTTATTTATTTATTGTTAATGTACTAACTGGATGCAATACTGTAGTAAAATGCTGAGAACTCCATTCTGTATCACAAGTACTGTTTTGGAATAAAGCTATTATCATTATTAAAAAATGTGCCGATTTCAATAGTTCTCATTTATGCCATGAATAGGTGAATGTCAAACTCCCCTTTATATTAATCCTCCAGTGTATATACATAACCAAGTAATAGGAAGTGTGTAACAATCTGACGAAAACAATTAATTATTACCACACAACCGCCAGAGAGTAAACTACTCGACCGTAAGCTCATCCTAGTATGGAAATCTTCGTTAGCATGCAGTCATGAGCCCACCAGGAGTGGAACCCAACATTCAGACTACGAGATCTCCTGTCTAATCGTGATAGAGAGCCACCGCCAGCTAATGCCACTAATGAGGTATCCGTCACACCCTGACAGTTTATGCCTCACCCCAATTTAAGACGAAAATACTATCCACCATCATTCCTTTCCAACTGCACAAAAGTCGAGGTTTGTTAGAAATCAAGAGAACTTTCAATGTCATTTTAGGTAATGCATTTAATTTGTCAAACAAGTACACACCAGTTTCAGTTGTTATAGCAGACAACATACTAAGGAAAAAGGCAACAGAGAAAAACATCCTAACATAAAACACTACAACAAGTAAATGAGTGTAAATTATCACACTCAACAACAACAAATAGCGAGAACAGATATACAGAGCAACATTCCGACAGGAAAACATGCGTTTTAGTGATGATATAACAACTAAGTGAATATAAATGAGATGACTGATCTCCGGGACGATAAAGATTAAATACACCTTTACTACTGCGTCTGATTTAATAACAAACCAACGAGTCCCTAACTTTTAGTTCCTGCCATCCCTAAAATGTCAATCTACTGATGACCAACATGCACACACAACTTAAGCGAATAGTCAATGGTACATATTTTGAACCGATTACTGTTAACTATCTTCGAAACCCATTCTACTTTAGTGCACACGTTTCCCTAAAACACCCAAATAATGTCTAATAACTCATTGTCTTCCACTAACACAATGACTTAGTCCGCATACATCAGAAAAACCAGCTGTTTTATTGATAAGACGCCAAGATTTAGGAAGTAGAAACTGAGCAAAATCAGTTCTGTTAGTAAATTTGTAATAAGAAAAAGAGAAGACGTTCAGCGAAGAGACTCTTTTCGGCGAATTCACTCACATAGCTGTACAATCCCATTTACATACATTTTTCTTGTGTGTATACATGAGGTTTGTTAAGTTTAGATAATTGATCAGGTAATACAAGAATGACCTAATATTGAAACAAGGTTAATTAGACAGCAACTAAAGTAAGATAGAGTTAATAAGTTAGATGATGTAATATAATTGACTAAAATGTTTCAGCTTACGTCAGGGTAGCAACAGAGGTAATTGCAAGTAGAGACTAAGTAGAAGTGGGGTAGAGAGTAACGCCATTTAAATTAGAACTGAAATTGAGCAAATAAGTTGGATGACGTAACACGAATGACTAGAAATTGAGTGTTGGTCAAGTCAGTAACAGTGGTAATGAAGTGTAGAAATCAAATCAGATGGGGATATAGAAGAGTAGAGTTGAAAATGTAAAATATTACAATTGTAAAGAAAAAATGATACTAATGAAGAGGTCGAAAGAAATAGAATTTACTTTGCAGGTATTAAGACAGATTACGTCCATTGCAAGTGTAGCGATTGAACGAACTTCTGTTTGCAGAGTTCAGGACCTAGCAAGTGAATCGCCATTGCTTCTGCAGTTTGAAGAAGTCTGATTCGTACTCCTTTAGGAAGACTACTTCGCATTCTGTAGAAAAATTTGAAGTTTGTTTCGGGTGTAGCTTGGTGTCCGGAATCTGTCAGATGTTCCAAGATGGAGCTGCGGGGCATCATTTTTCTCCTTTGTAAAACCATGTTGGTAAGTGTTCGGTGATACGTTTGGGAAACGAACGCTGGGTACGGCCGACATACCTGGCTCCCCACGAGAGGTGAATTGATAAATACACATTGATGAGGCCAGCAGTGGTAGCTTATCCTTCACGTTCACATGAATCATAGGTTTTGTGGAGAAAGTCGTAGTTCAGCTGTGAAGGTCTTCTTATGTGAGCGCGACAGTCGACTTTTTAGTGTTTCCGCAGATATATCTCCTTTGAATTGAAGGTTTATGTAGAGTAGTTTTTTCGGGACGCTAGGCATGAGTGGCTTTTGTGGCCTAGGATTCATAGATTTTGCAATAAATCATTCTGGATAACAATTCTCGACGAGGATTCTCTTGAGATTGTCCAGTTCATCTTCTGTGGTGTCCAGGTGCAAATTCCGCGAACTCTGAAGCTGAGTGAACGGATCAGGTTTCGTTTGGTGCATAGATGTACCCAACTGTGAAAGTAAGTAAGCTGCCCGTTTCACGTCGACTTTCTGTAGACAGATCTTCTCAGTGTTCCATCCTGTTCTCGTCTTGTTAGTTGGACGTCAAGAAAGTATATTTTGTAGTTGGACTCGTTTTCCAGCGTGAACTGAATCGCGGAGTGGCAGTTGTTAAACGACTTCAAGATGTCATCTAGATTTTCTTCATTGTTGACGCAATCAAAGTGTTGTCGACGTATCTCTTATAGATTTCGAAGGTATCGATAATTTTCTTCAGGCATGTGTTTTCGAGTTTTGCCATGAAGAAATCTGCAAACACTGGGCCTAGTGGTGAGCCCATAGCTATACCATCTTTTTGGCGATATATTTCGTCGTTAAAAGAGAACTAAACATTCAGGGTACACCTCAGCAGGAGTTCTTTAAGACGCTCGGGGGGTATACCGATGTTTATTCCTTTGGAGTGAATATAGCATATTGTTTCAGTCAGTGGAACGTTTGTGAATAGTGATGTGACATCTAATGAAATCATGGTTTTGTTGAATACGTTGATGTTTTCAAAGGAGTCGATAAAGTTGAATGAATCTCGAACTGTGTGGCAGGAAACTTGCCTTCTGATTGGTTATAGTAGGTCTGCTAACCATTGGGCTGTGCGGTGATAAGGCGAATTAATCATGTCAAGGATCGGTCGAAGAGGGCTACCCTTCTTGTGTACCAGGAAACAAGATCAAAGGGCAATAAAATGCATTACTCTGATGACCACACCAACGGGAAGTGAAAAAATAAAGATGAAAAAGTTGTATACGCCCATTGGCTGAAAACCTAAATGCATAACTGCATAAAATCTCAAAGCTAATTTGTTTCACATGAAATTTCTCTCACGGCAACTTTCGCCTTACTTTAAGTTGCAATAATATAAACAGCTTTTCGAGAGAACCTTCATTAAGATAGCGAGTAACATCTAGGTGATTCATGATCTGCTGTTTTATATGTATTTTCAGACAACTTCGAGTCCATGCTTGACAAAACATAAACAATTAATACGTAATTATGATATGCTTGATGCTTTTATCACTTTGTTCAGAATTGTCTATAGAAGTGACAAATATTAGGCTTCAAATCGTTCAACATAATAAAACAAATATCGATTATGAAGAATATTTTTCCTTTACAAAGGCGGGATTACGGCACCATCAGTAAGACCGGATTATACAAATTGTTATAACAATCGTCATGAAGTGACCATGCACCCCAATTTATTTTACAGCATTTTTGTGATGACAGAGTAAAACGACAACTAATTAATGTAAAGTCAGCGCATGCAAAGCGAAGAAAGTTGGATTTACTTCTATTGCCTGTCTCTGAATATCAACCATCATAAAATATTAAAAGAAAGAAAATTGTTGCATCATGCGTTCATATTTTGAACGGAAAAAAAGTATATGCAAGTGATTCGCTTAACGTACTTCGTGAGCTTTAACACAGCGTATCACAAAACAGAAATCTGTCGCAACAAGGGGAAGTTTCAAGCTATTCCACGACTTTTTATGGAAATTTGAGGGAAAACTACAAGAAAACCTGTGAAGTCCAACGAACATCGCCCCCCAGAAAATATTGACGTCCTTCAGAAACAAAATGTTTTTGGCTACATTTTTCCACCTAAAATACATTATTCTTCCCCCAAAAATACCATACTTGAGATAGTTGTCAGTTCGATAAATATTATATTTCATGCACAACTCTGACTTACCAACACCCTTTGATCTGTAGCTAGCGGTAACACCCAAACTTAATATATACGCCACACTAGTCGAAAGTGGGAAACTTGCAGAAAGTAAATTGCGATCCTGAAAACAATCACTAAATTGACAAATAAAAGCTTACATCAACGTTGCATCTTCCCAAGGTCGTTACGGTGCCCACAATAACACCGATCAAATCATTGTCTAAAATAGCCACGATTGAAATAAGAGATGAGTTGTTTAAAAGGTCTTGAAACCAGGAGGACGGGTAGCTTTTCATAAGTAAAAATTTCGATGTTTACCTGACTGGAAAGCATTCTTTATACAGTGACTGCAGCTGATCGATGTCTACTTTTGTAACAGAACGAAACCTTAGGACCCCATTGAAACAGTCGGCCCCATAACCTATTTACACATGACCTTCAAACTTTTATGGTGAGCGCGAAGGTCATGGATACATAAGCTGCTCACATTATAGCATGTATGGGAACCATAAAATGACATCTTGTACTTGTTCTACTTTTGATGACGATAGCTTTCCCCGAATGCACATCTAAACTTAGGTTAGAGCGAGGCTTAAAGACCAAACTAACCATCATCGGAGTGACTTTGAACGGATTCAGATAATCAGGAAAGAAGGTCCTTGTTGCCTATTTTAGTCCTTGCGACACATACCTCTGAAGAGACCTAATTTCTCCTTGAAAGCATTCACTGGTGGAGCTGTTACAAATAAATCAGGTAAAGAGTTCCAGTCGTTGACCATTCCGTGAGAGAATGTAAATTCCACATATATATTATTCGACCTCGGTTCACATTCAGGTTTTTTTTATTTAGAATAGAAGACTTGGAGCCTGTTTTAATCCTTTTCTAGTTATTTTCTGTACCCCTCTCAATTGAGTCAATTGAGGTTGCAGACACCACTTCTTCTAGGAGTCGGTTCCAAGAGTTTATGACTCGGTGTGAGAACCAGTACTCAACAGCAATATGATTTCTGCTTGGCTTTTGAACTCTCCTGCTATATCCGGATGGGAAGGAAAAGAGAGAAAAGGTCAGACCCGAAGTCATTATTTACAATTCTAAACATAATTAAATCCTTTTTCTGCCTAAAGTATGATAAGGAGAAGAGATTTAAGCTGTCTAGTCTTTCCTTGGATGATAAATTAGCCAAGAACCATACGTGTTTCCTTTTTGAACCCTTTCTGGAATATGTGGGTCCCCTTCAAGACAGGGACCAGCTGCCTGCATACAGTTTCCTAGTCTTCTTAGGTTCGTACGCTTTTTGTGGTAACCTCGAAGATGTATCCTAGAGCGAGAGAAAAGGTTAGAAAGTTCAAACCCAGAATCCCCTTTTTAAATACGGTATACCAAAATTAAGTCAGCTCTCCTTCGGTACGATAGTGGGAAGCGATTTAAATGCTCCAGTTTCTTGTAATAAGGAAGGTCTGTGGCACCACTAGCTAGTTTGATTCCTACCCACTCTACTCTTTCTAGCATACGTGCCTTCTTTTTGAGGCTTAGGCTCACAGCTTGTATGCAGTATTCTAGATGAGGCTCGACATGTGTTGCGTGATGTACTTAGAACACAGACTTGTCTGATCGTTTGGGAGCCCCTTGAAAACCATTAGCTGTGGCTAAATCACAATCTTACGTTGTTTTTAGGTTATGACTTGCAATAATTCCATAGTGAGTACGACGTATATGACCTCTGGCTTGGGTGCACTGCCATGCCTTTCTTGGAACTAGTTTTCTGGCCCCAGAGGTAAGCCCACTCAGGTAATTTACCTGTCATCATTATTATTTACAGTTTTCCACATCTAGTCAGAAAATAATAAAGAAGGTGAGGTAAGGATTTTCGGTAGTTCGTTTACGTATAATACGAGTAGCAGGGGGCCTAGCACAATCCCCTGAGGCACTCCTCTCAGTACTGCTTTCCATCCTGACAGCGCATAGGCATTGGTTTAATCCAAAACGTTTGAGTTTACTAGAGACATAAATGAGATACTTTATTGAATGTTCTACTAAGATCAATACAGACAAAGTCCAACAGATATTCCTTGTCCGTGGCTTCGACCCAATCTCCCCTAACTAATAATAAGTTTGTTATGCATGATCGTCCTGGTTGGAATTCGCACTGTTCCACCGCCAATAACTACTTTTTAAACATATGAGATAAGAGCTGATCCCATATGTGTTTCTAATACCTTAGCAATAATGCAAGTCAGTCTTATGGGCCGGTGGTTAGATACTAACTGCTATTCCCTTCTTGAAGATGGGGCTTATGAATGCATCCTTCCAGCCCCTTGGAAGCCTAGCCTGGGTCAGATACATCTGGAAAATCACAGCAAGAGGAATGTACATTATATCCGCCAAAGGAAACGACAGTCTAGGGCGAAATCCGTTGGGTCCAGGTGATTTACTTAGCTTCAGTAGTTTGAGAACCACTGCATCCTCCAACACAACTCAGTGCATCTTACTGGCTACAGCAGTGACCTCGCTACGCCCCTGAGTGGTATGTTTAGGCGGAAAAACGCCGCAAAAGTATTCCAAGAGATGTCTAGCTTTGTTTCCTGTGACTCAGCCACGTCGCCAGTACTGCTTACGATTGACGGTATACCACCGCTGACTTTAGTCTTACGTTTGATATACATACGAGTACAACCCTTTCGGATGATGTACACAATCCAATACTGACTGTCTCTCAAGTCTATACGAATTTCGTCAATCATACGCTTTCAAAGGTTTCGAATTCGGTGGCACCCCATTCGAGACTCTTCCCTCCCCGCCACCGTAAGCTGGTCTCATAAGTTCTTTCACTGTCTTAATAACCTTATTTCGTTACTAATCCAAGTTGTTTTATGCGATAGTTTTCGAAACATAGGCCAAGGCTCAAAAGGCGCAGTAACGCAATCTAGTGTATTCCTGAATCCCACCCACGCTTTCTCGACTAGGGTTGCTGCATTGCGTATTGCAAGCATTTTCGCTTTCCAAATGTTTAGACGAGCAACTGTTGACCTATGTATAACGGCGTGAATCTCAAAATCAAAAGTGATAACTACATGGTCACTGTTGCCTAGCGATGCCAGGCACCTAATGTCACCGACATCCCACTTCTGGTGTGTTAGCAACGGATCTAGAGTGGACGGAACATTTTCAGGGTGGCATCGTGCTGGTGCGTCTATATATTGGACAACTGTGCATTCAAGACCTGTCATTATAAGTTCCCCGTTGAAACAAGTATGCAAGCTAGTGGATTTTCATTACTCCTAATTAATATGTGAGACGTTTAAATTATCTTACTTTAGATACCTATTTTCACTACTCCGTGACCTGAGGTGATTTAGTATGAAATCACCAGTTTGACTGGCATGACTTCTATAAATACCCCCAGTCGTCGCATTGCCCTTGTTCAAGCTAATGACACAGCTTGAGGCTTCACTGTTGCCGCTGCCATGCGCTTCTGACAATGTTGACCTAATTGCTATTTTATCTCGGATGCGTGCGGCAACTTCACCATTTTTCCGACTGATTGCTCCTTCTGTTCTAATGCAGATGTGTCCAGGTATGAGTAGACTCAATTCGAAGCCCGCTAACAAGAACGTTTCAGTGACAGCAATCATATCAACCTGTAATCTTTTCGATAATATTCCGAATTCAGAGAGCATATACCTAAGGCTACTCGCATTCGTATGGCACACTGAAAGAACCACGTCTTCATTCGACTTGTGAACAGAGTTTTGGGCAACATAAGTTTTCGAGACGGCACCACCCGAAAACCCAGTGGTGGTAGGTAATTTACCAGTTCTACTAGTCGGGCCTTTAATTGCGCCAAGGCTTCTCTTTCTTTAAACCTATCCCCCAGGGACCAGAGCCTTATTGTTAAATGTGTTGTTGAGAATAATGCCTTTTTCTATCTCATTCCTCAGCAAAATCTCCAGTGTTCTTCGGGAAATTTTCGTGGCATCGGCACTTAGTTTAATGATTCTCATGACCTTTCTTGTACAGACTCCAATCGTCTTTTCGAGAAGTGTCAATGGAGTTGAAGATTGAACGATCAATTCTTGGTTGTTTGCTCAAAATCAACTTCCCCAATTTTCGCGGAGGCATCAATACGACAGTCATCGTCTCATCGGTCGCTGTTCAGAAAGAAGTCAGTAGCAAACCATCAGAAGTAATCTCGTGATTTATTATTGTAATATTTGTTCACAGACCTTAATAGAAATATTTTTTATATGTTGGTGTTACAATAAAGAATTCCCAAGCGGCCAATCGGTGTTTTGGTTTTTCGTCCGTTATTACTAAGCGTTTCTGAAAAACTGCAAGGAACAGCGTGGGCCCGAGCGTGGCAAGAGCTGGGCATTAACGGTTTACGAGACGTGGCTGACAGTTTCTGATGGTAGAAACAGATTCTGGCCGATTCAGATAGCTGGTAACAGTTTGGATAGTCACCGTTCATCTTTCCTGGTGCCGGTCAAGTCCTCTTTGAACAAGCAATATCTGGAACATTTTTGGAATTGGGTCAAGTTCAACAATGCCTGGGTCAAAGAAGGGACAGAGTGTCTTGGATGCAAACAGGAAAGTAAGTCATGGTGACTTGTCTGTTACTTGTAACGATGTGTCTGATGTTAAGCATGACATGGTTGATGTTACTGTTTCGCCGTTCAGGGATAATAGGAACATCAAACTCCCCAGATTTGAACCACGATGTTTTGATGGAAACCCGGCTGATTATTTACAATTTGTAAAGGAGTTTGAGATCATGTTGAGTATTTTTATATTAAATGATGAATTGAAGTTAATGTATTTGATGAGATATTGCACTGGAGATGCTGCAAGAGCTATACAGTGCTGTAAGTTTATGAGGCCAAAAGAGGGCTACTACGAGGCCATGAGCATATTACGTCAAAGATTTGGAAGAGCTTCGATGATTGCAGGGAAATTATTCGAGGCTGTTAAGGGTAATAATGGTCAATTACAGGATGACTCCCAGGCACTCACTGAGTTTTTAGATAATTTGCTAATTTACAAGAATGCATTGATTTCGATGAATTGCATGAATGACCTCAACTCGAGTTTTATACTAGAAGTAATAGCAAGACGCCTACCTACTCGACTGCAAAGGAAGTGGGTGAAGATAAGCTCCCGTATGGAGGATGAGGGTATCAAGCCAAAGTTTGATGATATCCTGAAACTAGTAAAAGATAGTGTCAATCAATCTATGAGCAAGTTCGCCAGTCTATTACATCTCACCCCTAGAATAGAGCAGTCTGAGAGCAAAATGCAATCATTGATGACGAGTAGGCCCCAGAGAGGTGGATATCGAGAAGGCTCCATGATGTCTAGTAATGCATATAGACCTAGTGAGTGTAACAGGTTTCGTAGTACATCCTCAACAGATAAGTTACAAGATGCAAGACAAACACGGTTGTGTTTTACACGTTTTCAAGAGGCGCATACAAAGGTGAACTATGAA